CTGGTGAAGGGAAGATTGGTGAATCCATTTTATCTGATCTATTCGATTCTCCCTTTTAAATCTCAAATATAATATCCAACCAACCACTGCTCTCTTCCAACCTATTTTGAATCTGCACCAAAAACTTTAATAAAAACAAAGAAACTGTGTTATAATCAGACATAAAAGGTCCCAATAACTGCATGAAAACTAATAATTTTTTTTTCTATGAACTTCAACTCGCTTCTAATTTTTCAGATTACGTACCCTTTGTGAATGCAATATTAAAAATGGAGAGGGAAGAGAGTATTATTTTAGTTTTTCTCTGTCTCTCTTGTTTGTGGGGAAGAGAGAAAGAGGAATTAGGAGAGCAGAAACACACAAAAAAACAAAGGGAAATAGATTGGGATTCTTTTGTGAATTATAAGGTAAGCAGGTTTGTAGCCTGGTTGGTTACTAATGGTTGGATGGTATTAATGAAATGTGTCTGAGCTGAGTCTACTTGTTTTTGGGCATTGAATGTGGCGCGAAAGACGCTTTTTCTGGCGTATAAATAAATAAATAAACTATACAATATTGTGTTTTATTTTATTTTTTCTATTCCTGTTCCATTTTTTTTTTCATACTGACGGTTCAATCAGGGGTGGACCCACGTGGTGTCATGTGGGGTCAAATGACCCCACAATTTTTTTTTTGATTTTTTTTTTTAATTCTTCATCTTACTCCATTGGCTTGAATTTCTCTTATTTTTCTTGTTTCTATGCTTCAATACATTATTTTTGAGACTCTGGTCAGTAGGCAAATTTTCATTGATTGGAATTACATTTACCTTAGTCAAACGCCCAATATTGGCATCTTGTCGTCTTGCCTCTTCCTCCAGGAGAATGCATGTAATTACTGACGGTGAAAGTTTGTCAATTAGGCCAGCAACAATAACGTCGTCACCAGTTTTCATGCCTTCTAATGAGACTTTAGCATTTGAAAATATTGCACCTAGGTTTTTTTTATCTACCATTTGGTAGCAAAAACACTTTGTAATTTTCGTGATCACCTCTTGGCAGTCATATTTTCTACGGTCTTGTTAGGGGTACATCACCTCTTATACAAGGGGTGACATAATGGCCAAGTGGCCCCTCCTCATTGGAGGGGCGCCTCGGCTCACATATGGGGCCTCGGTGCCCCTTCAATGAGGAGGCGCCACTTGGCCATTATGTCACCCCTTGTGTAAGGGGTGATGTACAAGTAGCATTATTCTAAGACAGATATGTGATTTTATTGAACTACGAAATAACAACGTAGGTTACGTGGTTGCGGTATATTTTGAATCAGTCTTAAGAAGCTTTATTCATTAAAATGACATGATTTTGATAGAAAAATTTTTGAGGGGTCGATCCAAATTAACATTACACGTGATTGTTAAGGATCTACACACTTAGAATCTACCAATAAATCTAGAAATGTGAACTGTATCAGATCTCTTTTCATTTTGAACACAGTATGAAGTTTTTTAGACGGGAACCTCAGCAGTAAATCTTCTGAGGGTTCAAAACATGAATTACAAGGATCACTCACTTTATTGCTGTAACCACAAAAACATATGCTAATCTACACACTTGCATAGATAGGCAGAGTAAAGCAAGGTAGATATATCAAAACATGGCCTATAAAACCTTTAATCTCACATGGCATTCGAAACTAAAACTGAGATAGTAAGTTACATGCAAAACTTGCACGTTCTAATAACCTCTCGCTCCTGGAAGGGCAATCCATTGCAGTTGGAGTTCAACCTCGCCACTTTCAACATTTCTCAGTCGCAAAATCATATCTTGTATCACCTTACCGTCTTTCCAGATGATACAAGTTTCTTCGGACAGGCAGTTTGATCTGCACGGTCGTACTCTTGTAATTACAGTACCACTTGGGAGGCCATTTAGTTTGATCCTCAGTGCTTCCATGAATGGTTTAATATCAAACTCTGCATCTCCCATTTTGTCATCCATGCTGAACGTGTCGTGGTCGTACACGGTCTGAAATCATATACACAAGAAGGGACAACTTCGTACTATCAGAAATATCGACACATTATGTCATGTGGACCGTGCTACTATATATTCATTTATATCACTAGATTCTCATGGTAGTTAGAAAAGGGAGCTTACCAGCTTGATTGGGATATTAGGATCAGCAACAGAAAGTGTCAAATCCTCATTCCATTTAGGATTGATATCCTTCTTTATAACACGAGTCTTCAACTTCTACATAGAACATCAACATCTATATCGCTATCAAAACTCGAGTAGCAAAAATTGAAAGAAAATACATACACAATGTGTCAAATATCTTAGTGGTGTAAAATGGGCTGGCCTAGTACATTGCAACTAATTCACTAAATTCATTACTGCAGAAGTGTTTATGCTCGAGTTTGATTCATTCCTATTTTTATAAAAACCTCATTTCTTCGCATCTTCAATTCAATTTTGACAGGCACCTCTTCATCAAGAAACGTCATTTGATGATTCTTGATGAAGAGTAACAATATCATAATTTTAGGAGTGTCTTACGACAAATGATAAGTTGTGAATTTTTCTCATTCGAACCATTACTTCAAAGAGATGAACTCCAAGTGTATCAAAAGGAGGCAAGACTTGACATTAATCTCAAGAATCTCATATCTTCCACGACTATCAAAATTCGACATTCCTTCTACACCAAATACTTTAGTTGTGACAAGCCAAGAATTTAGAGCCTGTTTGGCTATGACATACTTTCAAGAAAAGTAATTTCTAAAGTTAATTTTAAGCACGACCAGACATGTTTAACAAACTCAACGTTATAATTTCTTTCTATTAACCCACACACATAATGCTATCTATCACAACTCCTCCATGCAACAAATCCATAAACGACAAAATGTACCATTCATAACCAAGAACTCGAAGAGAAAAAAAAAAAAAAGATGCATGGACAGACCTGTTTACCCATTTTGACAACAACGTAAGGATCGCTTGTAACAACATCACGAACAGCAAGATTTACACCACTCTTAATCCGAACTCGGAGAAGTCCCAACATCTCATCCATCAGAGATTAACGACGACCACTTCCCTTCTAACCCGAATCAATTTTATCTGATCTATTCGATTCTCCCTTTTAAATCTTAAATATAATATCCAACCAACCACTGCTCTCTTCCAACCTATTTTGAATCTGTACCAAAAACTTTAATAAAAACGAAGAAACTGTGTTATAATCAGACATAAAAGGTCCCAATAACTGCATGAAAACTAAATTTTTTTTCTATGAACTTCAACTCGCTTCTAATTTTTCAGATTACGTACCCTTTGTGAATGCAATATTAAAAATGGAGAGGGAAGAAAGTATTATTTTAGTTTTCTCTTTCTCTCTTGTTTGTGGGGAAGAGAGAGAGAAAGTAGGAGAACAGAAACACACAAAAAAACAATGGGAAATGGATTGGGATTCTTTTGTAAATTATAAGGTAAGCAGGTTTGTAGCCTGGTAGGTTACTAATGGTTGGATGGTATTAATGAAATGTGTCTGAGCTGAGTATACTTGTGTTTGGGCATTGAATGTGGCGTGAAAGACGCTTTTTCTGGTGTATAAATAAATAAACCATACAATATTGTGTTTCATTTTATTTTTTCTATTCCTGTTCCTCCTCCTTTTTTTTTTTTTTGTTTTGCATTATTCATACTGACCGTTCAATGATCCGTCTTTCGAAACAAAATTTGATCATTTTAGAGGTTTTGTTAGATAAAGATGACATCATGCGTTAACATAGATTGAAAACCTGTTGAGAACTCGATCGTCAAGATGAGTCATGTTGGAACTGAAATTTACCCTAAATAATTAATAATTTTTGTTTATATTTATCGAACCCCCCAAGACGAAGATGGATACGATTTCTTTTAGCAAATGATCATTTTTTCTTGTACTTGGGTACATTTATATTAAAGAAAATTTAGGTATAAATACGATAATATTCCCTTGTTCCATACTTCTCGGTTCCATATTCAATTAGATATTTTTATTTGGATACTCTTTTTTTTTTTTTTCTTTTCGAACTTGTTTACTTAGGTCGTGTATTAATATTAAACTATAAAAAAATAAATTAAATTTTAGCTATATATAAATAATGTGTATCGAGTATGTCTTTAATATAAGCCTGTTTGAGTCACATTATTTTTTTCATTATCATTCTTTTACTCATTTTAAACCTCACATTTTTCAATAAAATATTATATTCCATTACATCAATAATTTTTTTTTTCTTTTTTCAACCACATATTCCTCATAAAAATGTATTCTTACTCCCAAAATGTACACCAAACAGGAGCTATGTATTTACAAGCAGCACATGGTTAACTAGTATAAGCTTGTTTGGTGCACATTAAAATGAGATAATGCATTTTTTTGAAGTAATGTGATGTGGAATATTTGGTTAAAAACGAAAGAAAAATTATTGATGTGATAAAAAAATTATTTTTTTGAAAAATGTATGATTGAAAATGAATAGAGGAATGAGAATGAAAAAAATAACGTGGCTCAAACATAGCCTATATATTGTCTATTGGTATATTAATTATTAAAATCTGGTCACTATACTCCTCAAAATTTTATTTTTGATAAAACTCAATTTGCATTCAACCCGACCCGGATGATATGGGTCAAGATACAACACCCGCCAAATAATACCATCATCGGTAATAACCACTTTCAAACTCCAAAAGCCCTATCCAAAACCCTTGACACAGTTGAGTTTCTTCGCCGATACCGGCTATTTTGAAAAGAGCCCCCTCATTTGCATTCAACCCGACCCGGATGATATGGGTCAAGATACAACACCCGCCAAATAATACCATCATCAGTAGTAACCACTTTCAAACTCCAAAAGCCCTATCCAAAACCCTTGACACAGTTGAGTTTCTTCGCCGATAGCTCTCCTCTCATGGTTTGAAAGTTAAAACCCCTACGCCCACCCCATCCCCAAGAAAGAAAGAAAAATGACAGTAACTTCAAGATTATACACTCTTTTAGGAACCTCAATTCTCCGCAGTTCCCTCAGTTTCTCTCAAGTTCCTCCACTTCGATTTTGCAAACTGTTCCCTTCTCCTTCCATTTCCCTGCGGTTTCACCGATACAGGTCATATGCAGTCACAATCGACTCTGAAGCTACTATAATCCCCGCCGACAGCAGAGAGCCGGAGCTTTCTGTCAATTCTAATCACCAATACCATCCCTGGCCTGAATGGGTCCTCTTCGTCGACCGTTTAAAGATGAAAGGATACCTTATTGAAAGTGCTACCGTTACTCCTCCTCCATCCACGGTGGTGTCGGAAGACGGTGGTGGTATGGACCGGGCCGCTTATACAGAGATGGGTTTGCTAAAGGATGCTTGTTTGAGATTCGGTCGTGATCGCTTTGACATTTTCAAGTAAGGGAACTTCAATTTTCGTGCTTAGAATGTTTGGTCCGGCTTAAAAGCCAAAAAAGGGATTTTCTTTTTTTGCATTTTTTTGTTACCATTTAAGCCAGGCCGAACATGCTATAATTTATTGCTCAGATATATGTGAGGAGAGGTAAAAATGAAATTTGCAGGAAAGTAAGATTGTGAGTGTGGAATGTATGTTTCAGATCATTGTCTACAGAAGATATTCAGGCAGTTGTGGATAAAGGATGTCCTAATCTGTTTAGAAAGGCTGTTAACTCGGCCAAAAGATTGAGAGCATACCTGAAACTTGATGAAGGAGATGTAAGCTCCCTTTGATTTACTATGCATTTCATTGCTCATTGATGCAAACATATTTGCTCTGGAAGCATATGGATTATATTTGGTATAATTGTTGATATGAATCCAAGTTTAACTGAAGTATACTGCAGGTATGCGGTGCTTGCAATCTGCGTGGATCCTGTGATAAAGCATATGTTCTGGTTAATGACTCTGAAGGAGCTGCACGTACAGTGGATATCATTCGCATTTTATTGCTCTATGCATTAGATCCACTTGTTACTTCTGGAGGAGAGAAGCCTCCAGGTAGAGACCTTATTGATATATCAGCAAGAAAATTGCTTTCGAAGATGATTGAGCTCAGTGAAACACCTCCTGATCCTGAAGTTCCAAAGCCTGCTGTCATAACTTCTCAAAAGAAGAAACAGTCTCATGATTCTGTAGTTGATGAAAGGTCACGCAATGTTGAGATGAAAAGAGGAGACTGGATGTGTACCAAGTAAGTCGAATTAGAAAACTCTTATTATGATAATTTGTGGTAATTTCTTTTGAGTTTCACTCTTATTATGATGATTTGTATAGGAGTAATTACTTTTGGGTTTCGCGAGTGTTCCATTTTCTGGAATATATCTTTCTTGGTAATTATTGGATTTGAAGATATGTTTATCAAAAAGTTGGAATATATCTTGAGCTTGTTACTCTCTGTCGTTCTCTTTAGTCGAACTCGCATTAGGATTTGAAAGCTAAAGCAGAAACTATTTCTCCCACCAGCACATACAGTCTCCATTTCATCTGATGATTGTTGTTTCTACTTCTTGTTTTGCTATTAAGTGAGCTACATTAATGTTTCATATTCTGCTACACCAGTAGCTGATGTTGTGCCAAAATTGCTTCTTAGATGCAACTTCATGAACTTCGCTAGACATGCAAGATGCTTCAAATGCGGAGAAGGTGGACCCAAGAGTGTTCACGGGGATGATGTTGAAATCAAGAAAGGAGATTGGATTTGCTCTGAGTAAGTTCTGAATTCCTTAGTAGGTAGTATAACTCTATTCTTGGTGAGTGTTGACTGAGTTTTCAGAAACTTAATGTTTTTAATATTTGAGTGATTGCAATGTTAATTGATTATGATATCATGTGAAAAATAATTGTCAGGAATCTGCCATATTAAACTTCTGCATGCATATAACTTTAACTCTTTAAGGCATGCCACTAGAGCTTGTGCTTTCTGTAGCTACCATAAGGAATATGATGAGCTATCTGTTTGGTCAGACGATTTTGATATAGATATATATGGCATGCATCTAAATGCATGTATAGGACTGCAATATTTTTTGTCATCTCTGCATTGGGAGGCTCTGATGTTTAGCTCTTAAATTGAACTACGAAGATTATTTTTACTAACTTAACATGCTATATTACACATTTACTGAGACTTAAAATACTTCCAATCATTTAGCTATCAAACTTGTTAATTTTTTTGTTCTTGTCCTTGGCCTAACATGGTCCTGGGAATGACTATCCTCAAGAACCAGGGCACAATATCTGCCTAACCCCCACCCCTCATATATGATGTTCTGATTTAGCCTAGAACTTGTTTAGAAATTTTTGCTTAACAGTTAACTTATGGAGTTATATGCATAAATATTTGTTTTGTTGAAAATGATATATGGAATTACATAGCACATCATAATTACTTCCCCGAGGAGATTAGGAGGGTCTTTTGTAGAAAATTTCAATAAGTTGAAGAGTTAAATTTCAACAAAGCCAAAATAAGGTTCTACTAGAGCGGAGCGGCGAAATCAAAGTTAACTGCTTATAAAGAAAGATGATGGCTTAAGACCTTTTCTCCTCCCGGGAGTAAGGTGCCGGCAAACACGGACAATAAAAAATCATAAGCAGAATCAAACTTCTACTCAATCTACCTGAAAATTGAGTGTCATTTAGGGGGTGTTTGACACCCATTTTAGTAGAAAAATGTGTTTTTGAATAGTGATTGATGGAAGAATGTGTAGTTAAAAAATTAGGAGAATTTTTAGGTTTATGTATAATATTATTTTATTGATAGAATGTGTGGTTGAAATGAAGAAATAGAAAAAGAATGAAAATGAAAATGAGAAAAAAATGGGCGCCAAACGGGGGCTTAATAAGTTCTTTGTCTGAAAATAAGCATATTTTCGTCAAGACTAATCTTTTGCCTCATGAGTGATTTTGTTATACACACATTAGCTGCCAAATTGATATTATATCTATCAGAAGCGCTTGGAAAATATTGCCGATTTGTGTGTCAAGCAGTAAAAAAGAGGGAAAATGGTACATGAAATCAACACCAGCAACTCAGGGAGACTCTCGAAAATGAAATTTAAAAGTGGAAGTTTGATTAAATAGTTCCTCGTGATAAAGCATGAATACAGGCTTACCTTCACATTTAGAAATGGCAAGTTTGATATGATTCTGGCATTTTAATGTCTATCTTTGTTTTTATCTTTGACTCGTCTTCATGATGATGATGAACTTGGTCTCTGCATTTCCCATTTTCCTCCAAGAGACTGAAGTCTTATTTTTCTCCTTGAAAATTGAAGTATCCTATTTCTTTCAAACTTTTAGTACAACGTTTTCCATAGTCCTTCCTTCTCGCCGTGTAGGTTATTACAGAAGGCGTTTATCCTTTTCTTTACCACACGTGACTTGAGCACTAGCCATACTTCATCTCGTGTCTAAATTATCCTCTAGAATGAAAGGTGATTGCTACATATTGATGAAGAAGAAACTCATTCTGCATCCATTCTGATAAATTTTGAAAATAATACATAAACAAATAAATTATTTCTTCTATAATAGCTTATGATTTTAGATGAGATTGTTCAATATGATACTCGAGCATGCAAATATTATGGTTTCAAGTCTCATCGTCACTTATTTATGAAAATTCTACGTGTTAGGCCTTTGGTAAAAAAATGAATGTGGTTTGCATGTGTTTGGTTTCATAAAAGGTAAAATTAAAATAAATAAATATCCTCTCTCTATAATAGCTAGAGATTTTAGATAAGGCAGTTCAACATAAACCATTGAAATGTATTTTTAACAGGCATGGCAGCGTGTGTATATGCAGTTTGCTTGTCTTGCTATCATGTCGGGAGTTTTACCATATTTTACTTAAGCATCTGTATTCTCAATCTTGTGTGCTGTGTATTGCTGATGCATGTGGATTCTTGTGCAATTATTCTCTTTGTTTCATTCATATGTTAATATACCATTCTCTTTTTGTGGTGGTATTCGTCTTCTGGCTCTAGCCAATAAATAATTCTTTTTTGGTTATGTGTATGGGACATCCATCCCCGTTATCCGGTATCTATTCTGAAATTTCACTTTTGCCTTCATTTCAAGCTGTTTATTTTTTAAAAGGTCGCAATGTCATTCACAACTCAATTTACAAACAACCACTTTGTGCAGATGCAATTTTATAAACTTCTCTAGAAATATACGATGCCTGAAATGCAAAGCAGAAGGACCTAAGAGGGTTTCTGTTGATGATGCTGAAATGAAAAAGGGAGATTGGAATTGCACTCGGTAAGTTTAATCAACTTTTCATGTTGCTGAATGTATTTGTTTTTAGGACATGCTTTGACATTTTTGGCAGTGGCTAATAGCTATTACTTCATCCATTTTTTATTTTATGCACTTGAAATTTTGGACTAATTCTACACTATTTTTGCTTTTAAACTGTCCAGCTTATTTTCCTCTTAATTATTCTATTAATTAACAAACTAAGCAATGATATTGCTTTCGGCATGTATTTGTAATCCTTATGTTTGCAAATAATGAACAATTTAGACATTTCATTGCTTTCTTTGCGTTCGTGAATGTGGTCAGAATATTTTAGAAACTAATTATTATCCTTTTCCACTGAATTGTTTGACACCTACTTGAGGATCATAAAATCTTAACTTGCATGTATATTACTAATAATATGCCGAATGATTAGCTTTCACCTGCAATATTCTTGCGTGGGTTCTTTCGTTCACTAGTTTTATCTTGGGGTAGTTCATCACATTTTGAGCTCTACAGGTGTGATTTCATGAATTTTGCAAGCAACCGCAAGTGTTTACGCTGCCAAGAGCCACGGCCCAAGAGGCAACTGAATCCTGGGGAATGGGAGTGCCCCGAGTGCGTCTATTTCCACACATCTTTCATGGTTGCTGTATGAATCATTAGTTTTATGCTTAACTGAATGATAACATACTGTTTTTCTTTCTGCAGTTGTGATTTCTTGAATTATAGGAGGAATGTTGTTTGCAAGAAATGCAATCATGATCGCCCCAAAGAATCGGAGACACGGTATGAAGAGCAGATTTGGAAGAAACCTTTTTAAACAGTACTGCTTGTTTGATTAGCTTAAACACATTAATTCAACATATTTATTTATTCACACCCTAGTATTAATTGTTGGTACACATTAATCTTCTCAGTTTCCATCTTCAAAGAATATAAATTTTGTTTTATTTTTAGCATCATACATGCAACAACTTTGAGTACCTTGATCGCCGACCCGTAGATTTTTATAGTTTCTTTTTTTTTTTTTTTTGGGAAATTAAGTGGAAATGACCTAATGACTCGATACATCGACCAGGTTGAGTATGGTAACTATGCATAAAGCTTGCTACATTAACCAACGTAATACTCAGACATAAAAATTGTTATTGGATTTGAGTTGATTGAAATTTCTACTATAGTGTCTTGAGTTTTGCCAGTTCCTTCAGGAGAGAATTTACTCTGCTAAGTATAGGATCATCAACTTGGAGTAGTTTATATTCGTAGTTGATTTATTTGTGTTTTTTGGCGTGTTGTTAGGCTTGGTTTGTTTGTTTTATTTGTTTTTCTCATTAGTCATGTTTAGCTTGTTTATCGTTAAACATGTTTTAATCGTTTGTCGTTGAGCAGATATAGTTTGTTTTTGGTGTAGTGTCAACGATCAAGTATGTAATCACGGTATTCTTCCGCCACAAGTGAGGTTCTATTAATGAGAGTAAGCCGCTACCTCAAAAAAAAAAAAAAATTTTTTTTTATAGGATCATCAACTTGCTTGTGTTAAGAGTATAACTAGTCTTCCTTCTCATGGGCCGGCCATCCATCCCTTCTCTTCTTATTTAGGAACTTCATTCTTGGAACGAAGTCCCAGATATTTTCATATCTAGAAGGAAGGTAAGCAGTATGGATTAGGTGGTACCTAAAAGGTAAACAGTCATAATAGCAATAGGAGTCGCGAGAGTAGTGGAAGCATCCAATTTGACATTATAAGGGGCTTTGGCACGTCAAGGAAGAACTTGTTCTCTTTGCAGGATAAGGGCGGTTAGCAAGAAGGTTTTTGAATTCCTGTATGAGTTTTACTGCATCACAATCTTTGCAATCCTAGGTCGTTAAAGGAAGATCTAACTTTCGGATAGAGTAACTGTACTTGCAAACAGAGATCGATGAAATTTGATCAAGATAACAGATCGACGAGATCCACTCATAGTAGATAAGGGGGCAAACTTGAGGCTAGTTCATAGGCGCCTCTATCCCGGAACAAGCTATTGACCAAAATGGCATTTGTCTTTCCACTGAAAATTCTTGTGTTTAAAAATTCAGAAGGTTAATCAGAAGTTGCTGTTCAAACATCATAGACTTATCAAAAGTAATAGAGGAAGAAAAGGGGAAATTAAAATTTGGATAAATCTACTGTCGGCTGAGAACTCGAACAACATGCTGTGTTTATACTTCTCGCCTGGTTGTGGAAAAATTTGATTGGTTGATGGCATTAGGAAATCCTTGTGTCTCGAGGCAGACCCCAGATTGCTTTCCATAAATAGCACCACCTTTACCAACGATTCCATTTACATAATTTGCAGTGTATAAGTTGCAGTGATGTGGACATCACCTGGATAACCTGCAATTATCACAAAGCGGTGGAAGTATCCTTATATATATAGAGAGAGAGATTTGAAGGTAATTGATGGATTTTCACCTTGTTTATATTCAGCAACTTCCCAAATAACCTTCTCATATCCCTTGTGTCCACCTGTACACGAGATATTGGACAAAATGAACAATCCAAAATGCTAGCAATAGGATTTTACTTCGGAAAACTCATATCAAGACTCTTCTCTTCAGAAAACTGTAAAAGCATGAAGATAGATACAAAATCATAATGCCGAAGGCAAGAAGATTGAACGAATACTAAAGAATAAAAAATGACATGAATTAGACAACACTATAAGAAAATGAATGTTCAAATTTTGTCTATTCTACTTTAAAGCACGATCTAATACTGCATGCTAAGCATGCATTACGACCATCAGATATGAAGATTTCAGGTCTAGTACCATGGAGACTGTTTGGTGGCTTGTTGATTGGCAGAGTGCTCAACGCCATTGAGTGTAAATTTTCCATCTTTGATCCTGTTTGCTACCCGGCCTCCGATGCAGCCAAAATAAGGTTCAGCGCCTTTCTACACAAACAAATCCAACACGCACAGATATTAACTCATCACCCACAGATTGGGTTCAAAACACTGTCATCACTCAACCTATAGCGAACCTAATCACTGAACTCAATTTAAAACCCATTAATGAGAAAACTTCATTTTTCCTTGATACAAACCAAATTCCACTATAACTAAAATTCCCAAAGGGTTTTCAGTAAGAGTGATATACATATCTGACTCACCAGATAGGGTTCAAGCGTGTCAAATCCAAAAACAACATCAACCAATTTCCCTTCAAAAAATTCTCAACAAATCCAACACGCACAGATATTAACTCATCACCCACAGATTGGGTTCAAAACACTGTCATTACTCAACCTATAGCGAACCTAATCACCGAACTCAATTTGAACCCCATTAATTAGAAAACTTCATTTTTCTTTGATACATACCAAATTCGACTATAAGCATTAGATCAACACTTCCCAAAGGGATTTCAGTAAGAGTGATATACATATCTGACTCACCAAATAGGGTTCAAGCGTGTCAAATCCAAGAACAGCATCAACCAATTTCCCTTCAAAAAATTCTCAAAAAAAAAAAAGGTAATCAAACATCATTAACACAAGTACACACAGAAAAACCAAAAAAATGGGGATTTTGGACAATAAGTCCAATAAACTACCATCTTTGTCTGGCACCGAGAGGGAAGTAATGGTGCAAGGCAACCATAGTTGGAGACGTTGACTTTCATTGTGCCATTGTTGAGTTCAAAAAGCTTCGCTTCCGCCATTTAAGATATTGCAGATTCCTCCGTAATCTGATGAATGTGGAAGAGACTTCCGCCATTTAAGATATTGCAGATTCCTCCGTAATCTGATGAATGTGGAAGAGACAGAGAGAGTTTAATGGGACGTGGGAATCGGATTCTGGTTTAATTTTGGCCACTTTAGTTTAGCGATAAGGACGATTTTCTGTTTTACATACCTTCCCTTTTTTTTTTTCCAGAATATTTATTTATTTTTCATAATTAAGTTGTGATGCTACCAAAAATCGCACTTGTTGAATTTCGAACTTGATAATTGAGGATAGACACTGACGGAATCTTCTAGTACCTAAAACAAAAGCGTCAGGGTATGTCCTCGTCGCCCTTCCGATGCTTAAGTTAAGGAGAGATTTATGCGTAAGACTATAAATAGAAAATTATGTAAAAACGTACACGAATAATGATTCAATGCTTTGTATTTATAGAGGTATGTAATACACTCTTAGTAGGATTAAGTAGTGCATTTCTAGTAGGATAAATCAATTGAGCATCCTTAGTTGATTAAAAAGTTGTGAAGTGTTTGAGAATCTTTCCATACTTAGAAGTTGTAATTTGATTGGAATTGTGAGATATGGTGTTTGGATAAGCACAAAACTCTAGTGGTAGAGAATTATTAGATTAGGGAACCTGATAAAAAGAGAGGAAAAATGATAGTGAAGGGCATGAGATGTCAAAGGGCTTCAAGCTCGAGCTTACTCATACAAGCCCGAGGATGTCCAGGGAGAGTGCTCGAGGTTATAATGACCTCGAGCACGAGGTCTTGGGTGATCGGGTCATATAAAAATTGTACACATCATAGGCCCCCATGCATCCATGTCAAGAGCTCGTGCGCAATGTGTCAGGAATGAGATGCACAAGTATGTTGGGTTAAAAAATAGGCATGCTCAAACCAAGGAATAGGCATTCACATGCCTAGAAGTAGGCATGCTCATGCTTAGACATATTAGGCATGTTCATGCCAAGAGGTGAGCGTGTTCATGTCTAGAAATAAGTATGCTCACGCCAAGGATTAAGCTTGCTCATGCCTAGAAATAGGCATGTTAAAGCCAAGAATTAGGCATGCTCGTGCCAAGAGGTAGTCGTGCTCATGCCTAGAGATCAACATGATCATGCAAAAGAGTAGGCATGCTCATGCCAAGAAACAGACAAGTTCATGCCAAGGATTAGGCATGCTCATTAAATATTAGTGTTCATGCCAAGATGTGGGTGTGCTTATGCCTAGAAATATGCATGCTCAAGCTAAAGATTAAACATGCTCATGCCAAGATGAGGGTGTGTATAAGATTGTTTGACATAAAAATCTGCTCGGATAATTTTTATGGATATTTTAATAATTCCCCATAATATTTTTTTCATGGAAGAAAAAACATAGGAATAAGGGTGTTAGGTGGAACGAGTCGTTCATTCACTTGCCCTACTAGCTAGGCTACTTGTCATAGGTGGTGAAGATGTAATTTTTAGTAAAAATAAATAAATTAACGAGCTACAAAAGGTTGCGAGCCAGCTTGGCTCGCCTGACCAAAGATGAGTTGGTGGGGAATAGTTAGCCAGCTCACACTTGACTCGCCTCACACGAGCGTGAGCTTGCTCGCATGGTGGGCACAGCTTGACTGTGTCAATTTAAGACTCCTACATGGGAAGCATTGAATTTCAAAATAGTATGTAAAATCCCGATAGGAGGTGGTATGGTGGGTGGTGGTTAATACCGAGCATAAAATAAGATACAAACATTACCCCATTTGACAAAGGTTTTCAGATTATAAATTGGTTGATCTCATGACATAATCTAAAAAAAGTTCCATCAAACTGGGTTTAAGCTATTATCGAATGTACCTTATGAGTTGTCATCGAGTCGGTTGGTTCTTTGTTAGTGTGGCGATTAAACTATCAATTATTGCTGCATTGCGACTAGAATATGGAGCTATGAATACAAAGTACGTTTTGGACAGGTCTAGTTGGGGATGATCTGAACACATCATTCGACTGTAAATAGTGTTTGGGAGACTTAGAAAAGGTAAAAAATACTTGATTAGCTAGATGGCAATATTGCTTAAAATTGTGGCAGGTAAGTGAAAAAAAACAA